AAATGGCTCGAAACCCGTCTAAAACTCACCTGAGCCTCTCAGGACCCCGTCCGAACATGCCAACAAGTTACAAACATAACACGGACCTACTAGAGGCCTCAAAGCACACATAACAACATCAAAACCATGAATCGCACCTCAAATCAAACTTTATGAACTTTTGAACTTTCAACTTCCAAAACTCGTGCCGAATCATATCAAATCAACTCAGAATGACCTCAAATTTTGTGTACGAGTCCCAAATGACACATCAAATCTATTCTAACTCCCAGAATAACAATCCGAACCCGATAATATTGAATTCAACTCTCAGTCAAACTTATGAACATTCTAAATCTTTGAATTTTTAACTTTTGCCAAGTAGTGCTGAAACCTTCTAGAGACATCCAAATGCAAATCTGAGCATGCATCCAAGTTCAAAATTACCATCCAGACCTAACGAAACCATCAAAACTCTGATCCGGAGTCAAATACATAAAAGTTAAACTTGTTTAATTCTTTCAACTTAAAGCTTCATAGTTGAGAATCATTCTTCCAAATAAATCTGTATCACGTGAAAACTAATCGTTGATTTACACAAGTCATAATTCATCCTATGAAGTTATTCAAGACTTCAAACAGTTGAACGGAATGTAATTGCTCAAAACAACCGGTCGGGTCGCTACAAATGAAGATCTCACTGTTAACTTCTTATTGAAGATCTTATTATCATCCAAGATTGTCCTATACTTGAACGGTAAAACCGTAGAAGTTCTGATAGAAGATATAAGAATTCAACTTCGCAAGTGTCATCCACATCTTAGCCTGTATATGATTTGAAGATATTAATTAATAAAAAGGAAGAATATTAATTTAATAATTTAAAATATCTCTTTCACTATAATTGTTTAGTTAAACATCTTGAAAGATGTTTCAAAACTCCAGAGAGATGCTTGAAATATCCTGAGAGATGTAACTGAACTCTTATCGGAAGAGCCTTATTTGAGCTTATCTCAACAAATTGAGAATGTGACTTATTATTCTTTCTCTTTTTACTTCTTTCTACCTCGACAAACTCTTCCTCTTTCCCTTATTCTCTTAATTTTTTCTCTTGAAGCTTCTTTTCCTATTGGTTTCAACATACAACTTTTATCTCCAGAATTCTCTTCTTCTATTTCTTCTCCTTCAATAGTTGTTGTCTTCTTCCTTAATTTTTCATCATTAACGTTTGTCTCCCCTTCTCATTCTTCTCCTTCAATAGATGTTGTCTCCTCTTTTATTTTTTTCTTGTACAACATTTGTCTCTTCTTCTCTTTCTTTCTATTTTTCCTCTCCTCTTTCTCTGTTTCCTCTGTTTTTATATTAAAAAAATCTATTTCCTCCTTTTTTTTCTCTTTTTTCTTCTTCTATAGCATTCTCTTCTTCTGCTACATTCTCTTCTACTTCATCTACAATGTCTTCTTCTTCTATAATATTTTGTCCTTCTACTACTATTTAAAGAGGTGTGGCTTCCACTTCTTCTATAATGAGCATTGATTCTTGTTGCTCATCCTCCAATGATGTCCTAATTCTTTGTTAGGTCTTTTTGAAAGAGAGTCACCTCTTCCTCTTCATCCTCTATTTGACTCACATCCCTTTATTATTTTATTTATATACTCAAACATGTAACAACCATCAGCACGTAAATAATTAATTTTTTTTCTAACACCAAAAAATTAAAACGATAAATAATAGGTATTCTTTGGTGAAGCATCTCATGGATACTAAACATCCTTAGAGATGTTTCAAATATCTTACATGATGCTTCAAACATCTTAATAAGATGCTTGAAACATCTCTAAAGTATTTAACAATCCATGAGTTGTTTAACAATTGGATATTTCAACCATCTCTTAAGATAATTCAAACATGCCAATGAGATGTTTGAAACATCAATGAAAAATAACCTTAATCAAACCTAGAAAAACATTGCAATAACTGCACGAAAACTATACAACGATACAAAAATACCAAATTCATTGCACAACAACATTAACTACATTCTATATTTTTGACACACTCAGAAACTATACAATAACAATAACTATACAACAACAATAACTACACAACAACATTAATAACCACACCAATAAGAGCAACAGAATTTTAATAGAAATTTTGCATTATTTCATGTTTAGGGTTTATCGACGGGGTAGAAAAAAATTAAAAAAAGAAATCTTACCTTGATGACAGAATATCGATTCCACAGCAAAATTTCAACGAGTTTCAAAGATTTTTCGGTGATCTGAGTTTCAATGTGAACATTCTGCAGTCTTAGTAAGAGGGGAAGGGTTAAAGATTTACCCGATGTGAGATATTATATTGTTCGAGGAACTGTAGATGTTGGCGGAGTAAAGGATCATCAACAAGGGCGTTCTAGTGCGTTATAGATTCTTATCCAAGACTTGTATCATTTGATGATGTCATGTGAATCGCTAGAAACATGTGAAGTGGAGTCGGCGATCAGTTAAAATTTTGAGCCCTAGTGACGGTTGTGGGAGTTGGGAGAGAGAAGAAATCGATTTTGAATATGGGGGGGGGGAGGTAACCGATCGACGATCGTACTTTTCCTATTTACAATTTGGTCCCCAACCCCTTCTTTATTTCCTTAATAATCCGATTTCGCGTTAATCAAAAGAAGTGACCTTTTATCCTTCACTCTTGCTTTATTTTTTATTACAGCTCTTTTTCATTCAATGTTGATTCCATTGAATCTTATGTAACATTAACATTACCTCGGCAAAATTTAAATTTGCTAAACCCCAAATTGATTTTCAAACTTTCAGGTAAATGGGCAATAAATCCTATAGTTGCAGAGAAGAAAGCTCGGAATAAAGGAACTTTTAATAGAGAGTAGTACCCATAGCCTTGAGATTTTTCTCATCCATGTAGAAAGAACCCAAAAACTTTTTTCGATACTCCATTGCTATAATTCATGTACAAGATTGTGTTTTTATGTTTTTATTCAACAAAATCAAATTTGACCCACTTGATTTCCCCATTGGTCTAACAAATTTGTAAACTAGGATTATGAAAATTGGGAAAAGAAAAGGAAGAACTCCATTTGTTTGTAGAGAAATTTGTTCATTCTGAAATAAAGTAATGATGATTAGGGTTATGCTAAAAGTGTACTAATTTGTTAAATATAGAGGACTATTAGTGCTCCATGTGAAAGAATATGTATTGTTTGGAGAGGGTGTTTGGATGGGCTTAAAAGCTGGTCAAACTAGCTTTTAAACACCTTTTTATTTTATGGTGTTTGGCAAAAAGAAATGCTTAAAAAAGCCAAAAGCAACAAGTTGGCTGACCCCAACTTTTCCAATTTTGGCTTAAAAGCCATTTTAGTTTGACCAATAAAATTACTCTCTTGTCCATTATAAATTTTCATAATACCAAAATTACCCTTAGTCAAAGAAACCCTAAAATATCTACTTCTCCTATTTCCTTCATTGCTGAAGACAATTGTTCCTCTTCTTTCCTCCTCCTCTCAGTTTCATCTTCATTTTCTGCACTTTCCTCAAGCATCACGCCCCTTTCTGTATTTTTAGACGAACATGATTTTATAGTTATATTTTTGGAGGGTTTCTTCTTTCTTTTCTTTGGTATTGTTTATTACTAACAATTTTATCCAATTGCATTGCTTTCTGCCAATTCTACTTGACTATATAGAGAGAACGATGGTGCTCTAGTAGTAATACTATACTGGGTATTCCAAACTAAAGGGAAAAGGAATTGAAATTAAATTAAAATATAAATTAATTTTCATTTACATTAATTCATTATTAAATATATTATAGTAATCCGGTCCTTTATAATGTTGATAACTTTAAGGATATTTCTGTCTTTTCAATAGAAAAAAGTGCTTACCAACACTTATTTACCAAACACTTCAACAACTTTTTTTAAGCTTCAACACTTTTACCCAAACAGGTAACTGCTTATTTATAAAACAAGCTCCAGCACAAGCTAATCCAAACGGGCTCAGAGTCTGATGACAAAGATAATGTATGATTTTTGGCCTTTTCTATACAGAGAAGGGTAAGAAATACCCCTGAACTATTGGAAAAGATCTAAAAATATCCTTCATCCACCTATTGGGCTAAAAATAGACCTACATCCACCTTTTTGGTTCATTTATACCCTTTGACCATTAGGTCAATGCTGAATTTTAAAAATATTATTTAAATTTCACGTGGCAACTTCTTATTGACCGAAATTAAAACATCTAACCTATTAGAAAGACCCACCCATATCTACACGTTTTTCGGACTAACCTGCCCCAACATTTACCTGACCCGGATAAAAAGTTCAAAATAAGAAAAAAGACGCCTCGCGTGGCAACATTACCAGTTTGTTCTTCCTAACGACGTGGTTCCTAGTAAAGAGCTTATATGAGTAAGTTCCCAAGTAGGTGCTTCCGGATATTCTGCATTTCCAAGCATTGAGGAACTGGATCTTAACCTTTTTGGAACACTAGGAGAAAAATATCAATCTTCTTGGAGCTCACTTGATGTAGCGACGAGTTGGTAGTGATATACTTTGTAGATTTTGGAATCATATAACTTTCTATGTCACGTTTTTGGTAGATTTTGGGACCTTTTTTTCTAGTCGAACTTTTTGTTTGGGTCAGGTTAGTGTTTGAAGCATGATAGTTTGAAAAACTGGTAGATATGGGTGGATCTTTCTGTGTTAGATATTTTATTTTTTGCCAATAAGAAGTTGCCACGTGAAATTTAAATAATTATTATTTTTAATTCAACATTGACCTAACGGTCAAAGGGCATAAGTGAACCAAAAAGCTGGATGGAAGGATATTTTTAGCCCAATAGATGGATGGAGGGTATTTTTAAACCTTTTTCAATAGTTAAGGGGCATTTTTGACCCTTCACCGTTTTCTATATTAATGTCACAGATCAAAAAGCAAGCAATATGACCCCGAGAGGAGTATAGCAAAAAAAAGTAATTGTTCAATTTCATTTGAATTCGCATACATTCAAGAACATCTTCGAATAAAAAGCAATGCTTGAACAGTTCCAAACCCGTGCAAAGACACAGTTACAAAGTGGAAATTACAGAACTGGCTTCTTCAACACCCCCCAGTACCTATCCTCCTATCATGCAATTACAACCCATCATGTATTAAACATCAATATGATACAGTTATATAAGACATCTATGACACAGTTGGATGTGAAGATGTTAGGACCCTGTAAATTTTCTACCACTGAACTAAGACCTCAAAGTTTCATCTTCCTTTTCACATGTTAAACTTACACACACATATCTATCTCCGACCTGCATTCGCTTCTCTATGCCTCCGTCTCCTCCCAGAGCGACTCAAAAGGACCCTACCTTCGCGGCGGAGACGACCAGCTAATGATATACCATTATCATGATTATCCTCACCACTACTGTCCATGTCTTCATCGGAGTAATCAAAACCACCCCTTGAGTGGTTATGCTCCATACCGATAACACCTCCATCCAATGTCCCGTTTAAGTATCTCTCATGCCGTCTCATACTTCTATTTGACCCACTATTCCCTGTTGAACCAACAGCCTGCAAAAACAGAAGCACATTCATCAAATTGTTATTGATTCCCAGTCCAACACCTTCATTACGATCCACCACATCTGCATCAAAACCCTCCTCATCCTCTGAATCAAAACCATAATTACTTCTTTCTATCACATAATCACCAAACACCACTGCCCCTGGCATTGAAGATGTAACAGTGCTGATAACATCATCCCTCTCTCGTTCCCTCTCAAGCCTACTCCATTTTTGTTCAAGGAGGGGGTCTACTTCACGTGGCCTAGCACAGGGGTGCTCCGCCCTAACATGTTTTCTCATCTCCTTGTAACTTCCATTAAATGAGCAGTCAGTATGCATGCAGCTTCGTTTCTTAGCATTCAGATACGCTCTGGCAGGTTTAACCACAGTCCAACCCTTCACCTGGCCACGACAAAGCGGGCATGCAAGTTCAGTTACCCCATGTTTCTCAGAAGAGCCCACAGTTGAAGGATCAGTTGAACCTTGAAGAGACTGAGTCTGATGAGGCAGCGTTAATTTAGTGTAGGCTTTCTTGTACTGATCGAGACAGTTTGAATAGCGGGAGCTAGTTCCACACATATAGGGGCGACATCCTTTGTCATGAGAGGAACACAGAAGTAGAACAGCATTGTGGGGATATTCCATGCATACAGAACATGTTGCATCTTCCCAATCTTTGTTCTCAAAAATCTTGGAGCATTTCTTTTGATGCATGTGTTCAGATTGATTAGCGGATGGCAAAGGGTATGGGGTGAGCCTGGATGGTCGAGAAGCAAACCTGCGCCTTCCTGTGGTTCCTCTGGCCATTTCCTAAACAAATCTGCATGCAGATATTATGTTAGAAATGAGAACTCTTAACATCCTCGAACTACATGATGAACATGCAACATGGGTTGACATTAAGTGTATCATTCCTATTTTATATAGCAAGAGTAACTTTTGTATTGCCAATTGAAATTTCCTATGCACTATAAAGGAACTGACATTTAGCTCAAACAAAATTTCACTACATGCACCATCAACTAATAAGAAAATTCAGTAACCTCACATATATGAGCCATGCATAGTGCAGAGCCAGATATTATGAACACAAGGAAACAGAAAAAGAATATTACAAGACATTTCTAGTACTGTTTTATTGTCTCCATGTATACTAGGAAACCAAAAGTGTCCATACAATCATAAAAGAGTCAGATAGGACAACTGGCAAGTGGATAGACAGAATCTAAAATGTCATCAAGCAATAATTAAACTGGAGAGGGTAGAGAGTTACTACAAAATTTTACACATCAGGTGAAGCAAATTATTACTATATTTTTAAAAATGTCAGACTCCATCAAGCATGGCCAAGCACCCAGGTGAAGCAATAGGATAGACAGAATCTAAAATGTCATCAAGCGATAATTAAACTGGAGAGGGTAGAGAGTTACTACAAGATTTTACACATCAGGTGAAGCAAATTATTACTATATTTTTAAAAATTTCAGACTCCATCAAGCATGGCCAAGCACCCAACAATAGGTAGGTTACCAAGTTAAAAGAGATTTACTTGAACTTCATTAAAAAGCACTTCTTTATGGTTAATTAAAAAGCTCTTTATTTGAACTTGATCACAGAAAGACAAAAATCTTAAACAAGCAAAACAATTTATGCACCAAGACATAAAATAGAGAACACACTTTGATTAACCTCAATCACAAAAGGACAAAACATGAACATACGATGTGAAACAAAAATCAATAGAAGCACCTGAGCGTTAACTATCCTTTCCCTCCCTGACATTCCATCCATCTTTTTTTTTGGGGGGACGGGGGTGGTGGGGGTTGGTTGTTGAACAGCTTGGGGAATAATCAACTCCACAGTTTCTAGTTCCACCCTCAAAAGTGAAAAGCGAGGTAATAAAAAATAATTCAACCTGGATAAATTGAATAATATTCAATATCAGATGAGGCAAAAATGTCCTTTGCCAGCTTCCAAAAGATAACAAAAGCACCTTCATAGGTGTCATTTCCATAGAAGACACCTACAAAACACCTGCCTCAACATGCACCAAAATGCCGCTAAATAAGATCAGTAGTTGCCTGAAAGAAATCAGGTAGTAGCTTCTATACCAAAAAAAGTCTTAGTGGGACGTCCCTTACCCTTATACCTTATACATGAATAGGCTTCGAGAACAAAAAATGGTTCTCCATACCTGTACTCTTGTAACTATGATTATTATTCTCACAAGGCCCTATATAGCTGCCCGTAGCGAAAGGGGGTTAACAATTCTAATGCTATGGTATCGATTTACAGAAGAACAATGCGAAGGCCTAATAAAAGGCATGTCAGCAGGCACATCATAATGCAACTTGCAAAGATGAAATCAGACAGCTAATAACAAACAAACCATTACCGGATTGCATTACAAAGTCTCAGTTACGAGCCTATGATATAATAGTTCAAAATTAACAGATACTTTAACTGTACAGTTCCACTCTGTTACAGTCTAATCTTTAGCTATCAGAAAAGGAGACACTGACAATTCCATAATAAGTGAAGCCAATTTCAGCCACATAAGCTGTTTAACCCAATGTCAGCTCCACATATAACTCTAGCACTATTGCCACCATCCATCCCACAAACAGACCATAAATGGCATAGTGATCAAATCCTGTCCAGTTGAGCTGTCATGGCGCTGATCTCACACCCAGCAGAATCAATAACAGAGAAGGAGGAAAAGAAGAATGTAGAATTAAAGATCGATAAGAGCCAAATCCTGGAACACTCAACCCAATGACTTGCAATTAACTACAAGTGAGACTAATTGGTGATAATATACGAGAAAAACAGGCCTCCCCACAGAACAAGTCACAGTAATGAACTTAGGTAATTCTGATTTTTCGACAGAAAATATTTGATAACTGCAATCCGATAAGCAACAAACATTAACTGAACCTCCATTCCTCTCGAAAAACCCCCAATCAACAGCTTATGGGGAAAAAACTGAAGACAGGTCTTACAACAACAGATATGCCAGAACCAATACCCAGAATCAAATGCAGAACATTATAATCATCACATATTCACATTTCATTGGCTGTTATGCTAACTCATTTTTTAAAAAAAAAAAAGAGAGAGAGGATGTGTCCACCTTCAGTTTTAAGCAAATCTGGACTCAAAATGACAAATTATAGCAACAAAGATGTAAAATTTCATAGAAGTCAACCGTTCAGATAATGCATCCAACGCATAAACAACGTGCCCCAACAGAACAATCACGCGAGTCAATAAGACAAAATCTAAAGCAGCAAACTTTAGTTAATATACCCGCCAAGCACATCTCAGATTCACCATTAGCTTAACCCATAGTCATATCCATCAATCGACCAATACAATAATTCACTAATTGCCTACTATCCAACTCCTAAATCACCAACAAAATAAATAAAATCAAAACAACACAACACAAATTGAGATCGATTCTATGAATCATCTATATCCATGCCGGTTCAATTGGACTCCTTTCATTACAGCATTCAATAATTTGTCTATTGAGACGAATCAAATTGCTAGAAATTGATTCGAAAATAAAATTACTAAAATTGAAGGTTTCTTACCGGATAAATCAATAGAAGAAGATTGGTCGAAAGGGAGAATGTGTTAGAAAGAGAAAATGAGAGGTAGGGTTTTCATATAGATGAGATCGAAAGTGCATGCGTCATTTCCAGTTATTCTCAAACAATTTTTTAGAGAGATAAAGGGAGCGAGGAGAGAGAAGGAGTATCGGATTCGTCGAGGCATTTTCTACGCTACTCATCTTTTCCTATCTGGTTTGCGGGCGGGAGATAGAGAGGGGAGGAAAGGGCAACAACGGTTTCACGCGCCGGTTTGAGAAGTGGCTGTTACACCGTATAAAAAAATGGTATGAAGGTGATGGGATTTATGTTTTAAGATGACGACAATATCATAGTTCGTAACCTTTTCTTCTTTCTTTTTTCATAACAAATAAATCATTACTCCCCCTATTAGTCCGTTCAAAAAATAATACTCCCTCCATTTCATATTATATGAGGTAGTTTAATTCGGTACGGAGTTTAAGAAAGAAAAAAAAACTTTTGAAATATGTGGTCTTAAAAGCTTAAGGGGTAAAAAGTTTGTGGGGCCATGACATTTGTGTGGCTATAAAAGCTTCTCATTAAGGATAAATGAATAAAATGAAAAAGTTTAAAGTTGAATTATTTCCAAACTTAAAAATATATAATTTGTTTTGGAACAGACTAAAAAGGAAAGTACCTCATTTAAATGAAACGGAGGGAGTAATATATTTTTACAAGTGAAAATAATTCAACTTTAAACTTTTTATTTTATTCATTTTATTCTTAATAAAAAGCTTTTATACTCATACAAATGTCATGGTCTCACAAAGCTTTTACCCTTAAACTTTTAAGACCACAGGTTTTAAAAGTTTTTTTTCTTAAACGTCGTGCCGAGTCAAACAACTTGATCTAAATTGAAACGGAGAAAGTATATACTATTATGTGGAAAATAATACTCCATCTGTTCCAATTTATGAGAACATTTTCTTTTTGGTCCGTTCCAAAAAGAATGACCCCTTTCTAAATTTGAAAACAATTTAGCTTAAACTTTCAATACTACACTTAATGAGAAGCATTTATAACCACATAAATACTTTGGACCCCTTTTTAACTTGTTTAGTACCACAAATTCTAAAAAATTTATTTTTTCTTAAATTCTGAGCCAGTCAAACATGTTCACATAAATTAGGAGGGAGGGAGTAGTATTTCAACTAAATATTGGAAGAGTATTTCACGCAAGAATTTGAGATTAAAAATTATTAAAATTGCTTAAATATTTACAAAAGATATGTAAGTATGTCCAAATGGCATTAAAATAAAAAAGGAAGTGAAATCTACGCGCGTTGGGTGGTCACGGAAATGGGATTTCGAATAGTTTAAGACGTGAGGTCATTGATCAACATGGGACGACGTGACAACGAGGTTAATGCCAAACACTTTTTAAGTTTCCAAGGCACTACCACTATAAGGTTAGTTGCGACATTGCATTAATTTTCCAAAGATAATCTAGTAATTTTCGTTAGCTAAATAAAAACTTATTTGTAATGTGTTTTAGTTTATTTATTTAAAATCATATAAATTACTTTTCTATATCATATTGCCATTACTATTTAACTTTTTTTACTTGGCAAGTTATTCTCGAGTTTATATTTTCCCCTTTCATTTTTACTTGTCCAGTATTCTAAAAATAAATTTTTATTTTTACTTGTTACTTTTCGTATATTAACAAAAAAATAATTTATTTTTCTTATTTTGCCCTTTAGCATTAATTACTCATTTCAAATTATTTTTTAAATTCATTACGACTATACACTAACTAATATGGATATCATAATAATTATGAACTTTAATTATTATTTCTTCTTTAAGGGACGTGCAAAGTCCAAAATAAATAAGTAAACGTGAATGGAGGGAGTAGTCGTAAACCTTAGCCATATATGCCTTGACTTAGGAACATCGAAGCAGAACAAATGTTTGATTAATTATTGTAGGAACTCCCGAAGGATACACGCAAAGGACCATGAGATCGAAACTTGATTTAGATTCTATTAGTTTTATCCAATGAGATCGAAACACGAGCTTAGTTTAGAAAACAACTAATTCATACTTGACAGGTAATCTCTAATAAGAAGTCATATGCAAATCATAATTTGCTATATAAGTTTGACTTCTATATACACTTCTGCCTTGGTTAACGAGAGTTCGATTCTCCACCTTATAATTCTCTTTTGTATATTTTTTTTAATTAAAAAAATAAATACATACAAATAATATACAATAATTCCTAATGTCATACAACGATAATAATAAACAATCATCCATGAAAAGGTGAGATTAATACTCAAGTTATATGCTCTATATAACGGGTTAAAATTACAGTAATAGAGCAAAAAACCTTATTTTATAATTTATGTTAAAGTTAGATACTAAGGTGACGTTGGGGGCGTAGAAAGAATAATATCCTTATCAGTAATCTACTATTCCCTTCGTTTTAATAGGAATCTAACATATTTCCTTTTTAGTCAGTTTAAAAAGGAATGATCTTTTTTTAAATTTAGAAATAATGTAATTTTAAATTTTTTATTTCACCCTTAATGAGATAATTTATAGTCATACAAATATTTATAAATTATTTTGGACTATAAGTATTGAAGCCTTCTCTTCTTCCTTAACCTTCGTCCCCAATCAAATATGTTCAAACAAATTAAAACGAAGGGTGTATAATATCTATCCCCTATTAGTGGTAATCTTTTCCATATTGTTGACAATCATATATTATATGATGACGAAAAACCCAAATCGATAAGAATGGAAGTTGCCTTTAGAACAATTGTTTTTCTCGGTAAGGATTGATACAAAGTCACTCGATTATAAAGAGAGGGAACAACTCACAATATTACGCCCAAAAATAATACGAAGCCCTTTCAAATGATCTATAATATATAATCTAAAGAGTCTAATAAACTATACTCGCCCGTGAGGTGAGTGAAGAAAGTTGTGAAGCTCCTAACTTTAATTACCAACTCAGAATTATCATATCATCATTATCATATTATATTATTGTATTATATTATATCATAATAATATAATAATATAATTAATTAATTAATATTATATCATAAGTATAAGTTAAAAGACTACCATAGCCATCAAAGCTTGAGTGATTGTTTTGCCATTATTTCAAAACCTGTTTGGGTTAAAAATGTAAATATATATTCTGTAAAGATAACTATACTTTTTAAAATAAAAATAACCAAAAAAAAAAAAAGTAAATTCTGAAGAAGAGAACGTGGGAGCCGTTGATGGGAAATTGCACAATTAGCCACTAATTAGAAATGTCTGTACTCTTTAGCCACTATTTCAAATGTATTTACTCTTTAGTCGGTGCTTAATAAATTTTTACTTGCCCAGACAAAAGTACCCTTGTGCTAGATATGGGTGATGTGTAAATATTAAGGACAAAGTGTCATATATTTGCATCTTATGTTGTTAAACTTTAGGACATGGCGTCCTTAATTTCATGTGTGCAATGTAAATATTAAGGACTTGGTGTCCTTAACTTCATGCGTGCAGTGTAAATGTTAAGGACATAATGTCCTTAACTTGTATTTGCATCTACTGTTGTTAAACTTTAAGATATCGTGTCTTTAACTTCATATGTGCAATGTAAATATTAAGGACATGGTGTCCTTAACTTCATGTGCATAGTGTAAATGTTAAGGACATAATGTCCTTAACTTAACTTTATGAGTGTTGTATAAATATTAAGGACATGGTGTCCTTAACTTCATGAGTGTTGTGTAAATATTAAGGACAAATGTCCTGTATTTGCACCTTTTGTTATTAAACTTTAGGACATAATATCCTTAACTTCATGAGTGTTGTGTAAAAATTAAGGACATTTCCTTAACTTTTGTCCTTAATATTTACACACAGGGGCGGATCTATTGAGGCCCGAGGGGTTAATACGCCACCCGCAAGCTTTGGTAGGAATTCTATGTATGTATGTGTATATATGTAACAAAAAGGATAAATAGAAGTGGTGCCACCCAAAGTATTAAAAGACACCAAGGTGCCAGTGGTTGAAGCGCAGAGTTTTCTCCTTGATGGCGAGGGATCAAATCTTTCTTGTAGCATTTTTCGGATGTTTTGGCTTGCTGCATGTCTAGGACTTTTTAAAAATTATATTACACACTTTTTTTCGTTGATAAGTTTAGTGTATAAAATTAATTATATTATATTTGTTATAAATAAAATTCTATTTAAGGTGAATGTCTATATTCTAGAGAGATTCTAGGGTTTATTACTTGGTGGCTAAGTCACCCTCTCCCTATAAGTAGAGGGTTCTATTCCATTGTAATTCATCCCAAAAATCAATAAGAGTTCTCTCTCCCTACTTTTCTCTGCAATATTCTTTTTCTTCTTCTTCTTTTATTGTTTCATAACACGTTATCAGCACGAAACTCTAACCAATTGGGTGGAAGCTTTGAGATTGAGCATAATAATTGTCAATTGTTCTATGAACTTCCTTCATGATTAAATTCTGGATTTAAGGTAAGTATTTTACTTTTCTCTTTCAAATTCTTGACATTCTATAATTTGATTTTAAATACAAGCAAAGACGATAAATTTTGATTGCAACTCTAATGGAATTTGAAAGAGATTATAACCACCCAAAGTGGTAAAATTTCTATGTCTTGCCATGATCAAAGTCATGTATGATTGTGAGCACAAGAAGTGAAAACTCGTCCCATTGAATTTGCTTCATTCTCATTCCCTTAAGAGAATGTGATAGCAATATGTGATAAGTCTGAAAGAAGACAAAATTATTACCGCGAAGGTATCAATGGATATGGACGTGGCAATAAACAAAATTATAATCGTCATCATTGTGATAATGAGAATAATAAGGATTCTCAAAATAATCTTTCACTCTGTGAAAGTAATATTTGTCATCGATTTGACATGAGATTGTATAAAGCACATATAGATGATTATGGTCCATTCATGATGTGAATGTGACAACATCTAATTTATGAATACATATTCATTCTTGGAAGAATATGAACGTGCTAGTGGTAGTGAATATACCACACTCACCTCTAGATGGAGGTTTGAGATGAAATAAGAAAATAATGTCATTATTATGGCATGAATGATCACTGGTCACGTACTTATTGTACGCCAAAATATTATGGCAATGTGATTATTAAAAGACAATGGTAATGCAAGAAACATATCTTGCATATAATTTGAC